TCCTCCCTTATACTACATTTGTTTCATTAATGAAGACTACCTGAAAATTGTGTTATGAAACAACGTTGATTTGTAATGTAAAAGAGCCTAACAGATGGGATTTATGGTTTTACCATATTTTGCAAACATCTATCAAACTTCGATTTTAAAAGGGGCTTGACACAATCTTAAACTTTACATGTTAATGTATAAACTTGCATCGAAGACCTTTAAGTTAATAAACACCGCGAAATAGTTTGTATTTGAAAGAGAATGCAGACCCTATAAACTTCTTAAAGAGTTTTTGTTTTTGTTATGAATGATCATCTTTAGGAGGGGTTACACAATTTGTTTTCCTAAATGTTTCAAACTTGCGGTGGCGCCATCTTTAAGCATATAATTATAAGTGGTAATTATATGGCCAGAAATATGACATACTGATGCTGCATACTCAAAGTACCGATACCAAGCTTTAAATTTTAGTGTGGATTGAAAACGTTTTAAAAATTGTGTAAGTTTAACAATAACTTCAAGGGAAATGAGCTTTGCGTGGCTTTCTTATCGTTCCCCTTAAGTTTTACGACATATCTAATGAAGCAGGGACTTTCTATATTAAATAGTTTAGAAAGTTCCTGAATGAAGCGAGCCTTTTTTGCCGTTTATGTTGTACTGTTACACAAATTTCCAAGGTAAGGAGGCGGGTTAGAGGCTCACAAACATGTTAAACCCGTCACATTCTGTATGTGCTGTCCCAAGTCAGGATTCTGTTGTTCGTTGGTGGTCGTTGTTTGTTGTCTGCCGTAATTGGTTTTTTTTGTAGTGTATAATTGTTTTGTCACAAATCAGGTCGTTGGTTTTCTCGTTTGAGATAATTCACATGTTCCGGATCTTTATAGATTATGCTGAACACACGTGCACACGCTGAAATGTCTCGCCTTCTTTTTTTATAATCAAAATTGAAGTATAATAATGCGGTTAAGGTCAAAATTAAGGTGAATTAAACAGCTAAGCCATTTTGACAGTTCCTGGAGTTTATGATTTGGTAAAAAAAGATCAGAAATTCGCCAATATCAGACCAAAGGTGACACCACTGGCATCATGATCGGTAACTTATCTTTCTTGCTTTGTTTGTATATATATCTGACTGTTAGAAGTATTACCAGTTAAGTCAATTTGTTCTCAGTTGTAGAATAGGTTACCCTTTTGTTTGGAAAAAATACCCAAATTAAAATGGAAATAACAGCTGCATATATTCGTCTGTCGCTATTTAAGCAGTAGTCTGTAAAATATACAAAAAAAAATCTTTACCCAAGCCTTCACTAATAACAATTAGATACATTAAATAAATTAATGTGTTCTGTTTATATGCTCTGTGGTGTTAAAATGTTTTAAAAAAAAATGTTCGAGTTATCCCTCTTTGTACATAACAGGTCAACTGACTTATGATTATATTGGTTTCCTGATGAATCATTCCCAATCAGAATGACAGTTGTGAGAATGGATGGATGAAAGTAGTATATCATGTCTCTCTTTGTTATGATTTATATGCCTGTTTTAGAATTTGAATTATACTGTTTAAAAGTCTTTTCTCACACTAAGAACCTTAGTCTGTATACTATTCTTTTCTAGAGTTTTTTTTTTATCACAGATTCTATTAATGATTCCATTTTGGCCCCAATATTTTGTTCTAATGTAAACACATTTCTTCACAGGAAAAGGTGTGTTATTCTTTAATTTATTTTATTGTTTTTATTTATTTTAAAAGTTTTAAGGATTATGGTAGATTTTGGCAAACATTGTAACAAGTTATTTTACAAATTCTTCCCACAAACAATTGGTGGCAATTAAGAATGCCATTCTGTATATTATGCTATGATACCCAATAAATTAATCGCATAAAACAGTGACTTGTGGGGTGCACATTTGCAGATAGATATAGCAAGGATTTGTATAGTAAAAGAACCTTCTTACTATACAAATACTTGGATATGGCAAAATCATTGATATGGACAGACTAAGATAATGGTATGTATATCATATCAGTAGTTCATTGGGACTTCCCTTCATCTTGCTTCAAACTTGGTAGACAATAACATTTAAAAGTCCATTTCCCAATTAAAAATCTATTTCTGTGCAAAGAATATTATCTAGTGGGAGTTAAATTAATATAACAATTCAGTCAGGTCTGCATTCAGCTCAATGTAATTTTCCAGTTAAATAATCATGTCAAATTTTTTTTGGCAAATTTCAGACTACATTAACTTCAAAGTAATGAACTCATAATATGGTTTCTTCATCTCAACAGATAGACAAATGAGTTGATTCACCAAATCATATTTTTTTCAAGAGATTTGCAACCTTTTTAAACCATGTTTTAAGATTTTATATGTGGCACCACCCCTCGCCTATTGAAATTATGGTGAAAACTAAAAAATTTGGTAAATGAGGGATATTCTAACATAAGTATTTGTTGATGTAGGTGGCCACTGTTAATTTTTTTCAAAATGCGGTCATAAATTTTGCAAAATTATGCCAAAAATCAGTTTATAATGAACTTCCCTACATTATCAACATCACAACTACACCACTTATGATGCAATCGATTAAAATCTTCTTTAACAGAAACAATTAGACATTATAACATATGCCTTCATCAAATTATCATCACATTTAAAAATGTTCAGATTTTAGGGCAAAAATAAGGAGTTTTAATAAAAACAAAATAATTTCAGACTGATACTGTGTAAATATTCACTGCAAAAAACTAAGTTAGTCTATTAGTAAAATACTGAAAAAGGAAAAGATCCCGCTAACATGTTTGACTTTGCCATATTCTGTATGTTTGCGCCTGTCCCAAGTCAGGAGCCTGTAATTCAGTGGTTGTCATTTGTTGATGTGTTACATATTTGTCTTTGATTCATTTTTTGTACATAAATTAGGCCATTAGTTTTCTTGTTTGAATTGTTTTACATTTGTCATTTTCAGGGCCTTTTATAGCTGACTATGCGGTATGGGCTTTGCTCATTGTTGAAGGCCGTACAGTGACCTATAACTGTTATTTTCTGTGTCATTTGGTCTCTTGTGGAGAGTTGTCTCATTGGCAATCATACCACATCTTCTTTTTTTTACATGACTGAAGGTGCAGGGCTAAATAACCTCTTTGAAAATTGTAAATGCCAATACAGCTGCATACCAAATACCATTGACATCTCATATGTAAGTTCCCTTTAAACTGACAAACACAAATTTTAACATCTAAACAATGCAAAAGTTTCCAAGTCAATAAACTATGGGTGGCAGGGCCATATAAGAGGGAATGCTATTACAATTGCATACTAAATATCATTGACTTGGTGTTATTGTTTACTGTAAAGTCACAAATTATTGCCAGGTTTTTATTATTGCGAAAAATGCGACAAAGTTGTAAACCCAATAATTTAATCTCGCATTTTGAAATATTTTATATGAATTAAACAGGATTTTTCTCAAAATCGTAAAAATTAAAATCGCATTTAAGTCTAAAATGACAAAATCTCAATAATAAATGTACACACAATAATTTCTGAATTTACAGAAATCATAAACTGATCTAATCACAACTTCAAAATGTAAACTATGCAATTTAAAGGACTGAGGGGGCTGGGCCAAAAAAAAGGAAATGAAATGCATCACCTTGCAGACAATCACAAAACATGTAAATTCAGCTCAAGTTTCTAAGTCAATAGACCATGAATGAAGGGGCAGGGCCAAATAATCTCCATGAACTTGATATGTGCCAATGCTAATACAACTGCATATCAAATACCACTGACCTACCAATTGTGGTTCTCCTTGAATTGACTTATTAGCAAACTTATACATGTAATCTAAGCATAGATGTTTCATGTGTTGGCTCTCCAATAATTGGGAATCATTCATGTTTTTTTTTTGACATGGAATAATTTGGAATAGCATTTTATATAATACGTAAACTATTGTTGAAATCATTCCACAAAAATAGTCTCCAATTGTTGTGAAATGTTACAAAGGTACCGTCCTGAAATGAGTTACCCTTTATATGTGGACTAACAAATTATTTGGGGTCTTCCATGTATTGATTTACCATATCTAAGTTTACTTCCTAGCAAGGTTCTATGTACGAATACACTGCTTCTGCACTGCTTTTAGTATGTTTTCGTATGTGACCTTGAACTTAAGACATCATATTTGATAGGATCTTTCTCATTAAATAACATATATCCAAATTTAGGTGAGGCCTTGGTGGCGTTGTTGGTGGAGTAGTTAAAACTACTGTATCACTAGCCTTTCAACGCAGAGGTTGTAAGTTCGAACCCTGCATGTGGCAAGTGCACTTGACTGATCTTAATGGACTATAATTGTCAGTTTTCCTGTCGAAGGTTGTGGTTCTCTAACGTACTACCACTAGCCAATGAATCCAAATACAGATTAAATTGCAGCATAATTCCTTGGAGTTCCCCAAAAAACCTTTCACTTCCATTTTTGATCTGTGGCTTTCGACATTTTAACCTCAAACTAGATCAACATACCCTTAATTAATATTCTGACTCCAGCCAACCAGTCTATAAAATAAGATGTGGTATGATTGCTGATGAGACAACTAGTCTATAGGTGCTCCAAAGTTCAAATGAGGCTAATTATAAGCAGCTAAATGTTGCTGTACAGCCTTCAACAATGAGCAAAATCAATACTGTATACCAGGAAGTTTTCTATATAATCCCTAGGACAAAACAAGGGGAGATGATTCAAACAAGAATTAACAGACTAATTTATAACCAAATAATTTATGAAAAACAAATATGACAGACAAGTACTTCTTCTAAATGGATTGTGTCCTTGGCATTGAAGCTGCAAATACCAGTTTTTATGTCTGACCTAGCCTCAAGGACATAGTCGGTCATCAAAATTAATGAATTATGCTAGGGTCAAGATATTTGTAACAAACTCATACCTTTGAAGAGGAACTAAATAAGGACCTTTCAATTTTTCAACAAACAGAAACATTTCTATGTAATTGTTCTTTATTAAAAAGAGAGACAAACATATGGTAACATAGAAAAACATGCACCCTGCATTAAAAAACCCTATAGGGAAAAAGCATGGGTGTGTAATTGTAACAGATATTTCAAGAGTACAATTGTCATGAACAAACAGGGTTGTTAGTGGAAGAACTATATATTACATCGAGACTACCACATGTAAAATTGTCATGAACAAACAGGGTTGTTAGTGGAAGAACTATATATTACATCGAGACTACCACATGCAAAATTGTCATGAACAAACAGGGTTGTTAGTGGAAGAACTATATATTACATCGAGACTACCACATGTAAAATTGTCATGAACAAACAGGGTTATTATCAACAGTGTGAAAGTTCAATTAAATCAATTTCATGGACAGGGTTTTTCATTTTGTTAGATAAATCTTTGTAAAACAGGCAAAATTTCGTAGCATATAAAATGCAGATATATCTATAGAGGTAAATTTCTATTTTGTATTCGACAGAGCTGATGAAATACTAAACATTTTGAGTTTAATAAAACTTGATCAAAAACACCTTCAAATATTGGAGATTAATCTTGTTACACAGAAATTAGTATCTTAATAATTCTGTGACACTTAATTAAAATCAATCAACCAATCATTAATCACAATAAGAAACCTTAACCTATAACTACTTATTAAAAGGGTGGGGGTGGGGTGGGGTGGGTTGACGAAAGGAGGGGTGAATCAAACTTAAAATAAGGGTGTTGACCAAGCTGTCACCACTATTCTGTAGTCATTATATTTGGGACACAAAATTGGGCTTGGGGCAAATAATATCAGATGCATTTTTGTAGATGATGACTTGTAAATAAAATTTGAAATCCCCATGCCAAACCAAACCCCTTAATGCATTATCTAGACCTCTGTTTACAAGCTTTTTTTTTTACAGAGCTCTAAAGAATACTTTCATCTTACTTTATATACATCTGATATAACTTATCTAAATTACATTGATACATAAAAAAATGATAACTTATATATTCTTAATTGTTGACCTTCCGTGCAGTGACAGAATTTACAAGTATGAAGAGAAAAGCAGGGGTAATCCCTCCCCTTACGCCTCAATCTCAGCCTGCTAGTCTCTCCATTCACCAATAAATGTTAGTCAGGAAGGCAACTAAAGCAATTCTGTAAAAAATAACAAAACATTTTATACACAAAAAATATCAGATGCATAAAAAAAAAAAAAAATCATTGTAAATATACCGAAAATATTTAACCCACATTTCATACCACCCAGTTATTATCTAGAACTCTGATTTTTTTTTTTTTTTTTTTTTTTTTCTTTTTTTTTTTTTTTTTACAGAGCTCCAAATAACAACTCTCTTCAAATCGTATACATCTGATATGAACAACATTTGTACAAAACCTTTACCAAAGGAACTAACCAGTATGAAAAGATAAGCAGGGGTATTCCCTCCCCTTATACCCATTTCTCAGCCTGCCAGTCTTCCCATTCATCACAACTGGTGTTCCTGTTAAATAATTTACAGAACACTATAAAAAAGAGTGTTGTACATCTAGATTGGACATAGTGTGATGATAACTATAAAGATAATATACACTTGCAGTGCATCCTTAATTTTGTACTATGCTGAATACTTGTAGTTTATCTTCAACTAATCAATCAAATGTAAATAAATACAATTTGAAATTCATAGAATAGCAGCTTTGTCTGTTTTCCCTGTTTGTCCTTCATTCACAGAAAAAGAATTTAATTATTTTAATGAAATAATGCAAAACTCTTGTCTCAAATAAATGTTTAAACATTTTCCATCCTCATTCTAATGATAATACTTCTTTATAAATAGTAATCATAAATGTATTCAAGATTGCATAATGAAACTGTACAAAATACCACAAATTATTTTTTTTACATTTTTTTTGTCATTCCTCACAGATTTATTCTAATGTAACCAAAACATCTTCGAAAAAAGAGATTTAAACCAATGGCAGCTGCCTGATTGTTCTCACTGGTCACACTAAAGTCCTCTACTTTAACTACTTCATGTATTAACTATGAATATTTAAGGGAGAACTGTAGGCCTCTGAAATTCTAATGTAATCGACATGTCTGTAAATCTTTACAACTGACTCTCTCCTATCCTTCCTCTCTCTCTCTCTCTCTATTGATTTTTACAAGAATACTAATACACTATATTGTTTGTCAATAATTGTTTCCAAGTTCATCCACATGGCAAAGTCTCTTCTTCTGTATCAGTTCATTTGTAATTTCTCAAGCTCAGTTAATCTACAAAGAAACAACAAAATGTCAATTAAAACATGGCAATTAAATTGACAAAATAACATTTTTAATTCTTGATATGTCAGAAGTGATTCATACCATATATACATATAGGATTGATTGATTGATTGTTGCATGCTTAATGTCCAGTGATCAATATATCATGCATATTTTGAACATGCTTAAGGTGGTATGATTGTCTTTCGCCATCTTGAATTATAAAAAACAGAGAATCTAAGGTCCAGATTTTCAATCAAGTTAGCAAAATTAGATGCAGAAATGTGGATAACTTATGTGAATTTGCATTTCAAAGAACAAATTTATAAGATTATAACTCATAAATATTAATATTTTTACAAGATTATTTCTGCTTGAATTTTAATAATTTCAAATTGGCATTTTAAGTGAAGTAACTCTGAAATAGTGCATTTTCTGAAGGAATCTACTTGGAATTTTGCTATTTTGAATTTTAGCCAGATAAAACGCACTGTGACCCTATCTTTTCTTTTGATATTCTCAAAGCATTTTCTAAAAGCTAACTTTTCGTATTCTATTTTACAATGCTATCATTTAGTTTAGATTCTAATCACATAATGATGTTTTTTTCCTGTATAATCCATACAAAATGTGTCATTTTGTAACAACATGTAGCTTGAGAAAATGTGCCGTGACCAATCATTTTTATTATATTTTTGAACATATTTTAATATTTACTACGCTTTGGCAAAGTATAAACAAATTCTATCATTTTTAATTTAGACTCTCTCATACCACCTTAAAGGAAAGTTAGCATGCCATTTTAATTTTTGCATCACATTTATAAGCATTAAACATAACATATAACTCAGAAACGAGAGTATTTAAACTTGCTAGTATCAATGTTTCTTATCAAAATTTCTAACTTTCAAATATTTTGGTCAAGACTGTGTGGCTCAGGGCTTTGCTCATTGTTGAAGGCTGTACGGTGACATATAGTTAATTTCTGTGTCATTTTGGTCTCTTGTGGAGAGTTGTCTCATTGGCAATCATACCACATCTCTTTTTTTTTTATATTAACAGTATTATGGATAAAAAAGGTATGATGATAATCAAGTTTCATTGTATAATTTCAGGAGCAATATTTCATAACCATTTTGTTTTTACTGTAAACTTACCTTGAAGTTGGTAATATAGTACTTCCAGGTCCTACTGTCCTAAGATCTTTAAATAGATCACATACAATTCTTATTTCCTGGATATCTGAAGAAGAAAAAATCATGTACAGTCACATCCTTAATTAAAAATGCTTATATGGAATTTTAATTATAAGTCAAAGTAGGACAATTTTCCACTAAGTACTTTACTGGGCTGTGCAAACTTAAAGTACTGTTTCAGATTTTTATTTCTTTTAAGGTTATGCATGATTTTAATGTTACAAGTCAATTTTTGACTTGTACTGAGTAGTTTTTCACAACAGTCGCTACCAGTGGAGTCAAAGCTGCTTATCCTTTATTTTCTATTCAGAGCAAGTAAGTGTATATATCCTTCATTTTGGTGGGGTTTGTATTACTAAATCTATTTTCTGGATGAATTTCTTTTTTATTGCTCCAATGCAAAAACTACCGGTGCAAAAAAATTTGGTTGTACACTTTATCAGAATATATTAATGAAGACCTTTGGCTTTATGCATTTATCTTGATAGTTTTTCTGAAAACACAGTGAATTAACACACCAAAAATTAAAAAAAGAGCTATAAGGTTAATTGCAACATGTAATCAGAGTAATGTTGCCATGTTTTTTTTTAGTATAATTACCTTGTCTTTTGTATGTAACAGCTTCAGACTCAGTTGTGATGTGCATTTCTGTGAGATTTATCAGTTTATAGTCCACTAGTACTGTCCATCCACATGAATACTGGTCACATCAAAATAAATGTCAATAATTCACTTGCTGGTTCCAAGGCCGTTGTAAATAATTCACTTGCTGGTTTCAATTCTGACTTCAGTCAGTTCCATGTTTGAATATTTCATTGTCCACTATTCTAACTGGTCGCATATATCATCATACAATAAGTCCATTAGGTCAAGACATAAAAAAACTGGTTATTATTAGAATATTTCATTATCACTATAGTTGTTATCTATTTGATTCCACACATCTTCTATCCTTGTGCCATTACTGGTATATTTTTTTTTAAATAGGCAAAAAATTCAAAAGTGCCTATTTAATGTAATTTTTTCTGAAAATTTAGCTTTTTCAATGTTTATTTAAAAAAGTTTAACTACCAAATAATTTTATTTAAAGAAAGGATAATTTAAATCATAATTTGATGAAAATGTTAACTATCAGCTGTAGGGGAGCTTACAAAGTATACACAAAATTCACATGAAAGATAGTTCTTGCAGCCTTGTGGCTCAATCTCTGGTGGATAGTTCTCATTGGCATTCTTACTAAATCTCATTGGCATTCTAACCACATCTCATTGGAATTCTAACCACATCTCATTGGCATTATTACCACATCTCATTGGCATTATTACCACATCTCATTAGCTTTATTACCACATCTCATTAGCTTTCTTAGCACATATCATTAGCTCTATTACCACATCTAATTTGCATTCTTACAGCATCTCATTAGCTCCATTACCACATCTCATTTGCATTCTAAGCGCATCTCATCAGCTTTATAACCACATCTCATTTGCATTCTTAGCGCATCTCATCAGCTTTATAACCACATCTCATTAGCTTTATTACCACATCTCATTAGCATTATTACAACATATCTTTAGCTTTATAACCATATCTCATTAGCATTATTACCACATATCATTAGCTTTACTACCACATCTCATTAGCATTATTACAGCATATCTTTAGCTTTATAACCACATCTCATTGGCATTTTTACCACATTTCATTTGCATTCTTAGCGCATCTCATTAGTTGTATTAACACAACTCATTGGCATTCTAAGCACATCTCATTGGCATTCTAAGCACATCTCATTGGCATTTTAAGCACATCTTATTGGCATTCTAACCACATCTCATTGACATTCTAACCACATCTCATTGGCATTCTAACCACATCTCATTGGCATTCTAAGCACATCTCATTTACATTCTAAGCACATCTCATTGGCATTTTTACCACATCTCATTGGCATTTTTACCACATCTCATTGGCATTTTAACCACATCTCATTGGCATTTTTACCACATCTCATTGGCATTCTAAGCACATCTCATTGGCATTCTAACCACATCTCATTGGCATTTTTACCACATCTCATTTACATTCTTCATTGATCACTGGACCAATTATTCTATTTATTTAGAGAATAAACCTTTAACAGATTTTTAAATTACTTTTCTGAAAATCTTGAATAAGATAAAAGAGGATCTGAGGTATATTTCAATGAGACAGCATGCCAACAACACACTTAACAATATAATTAAGATGGCAAAAATTATATTCTGTGATAATAGGTGTCTAAAAAATTGTTAAATGTTGTGGCCAAATAATAAGTATCTATGATAATTTTTTTTTCTTGTACCAAAAAAGCTTAAGATTATAAAGGTCGCTGTTTTTACTTCATATTTTTTATCCAATAATAGTGTTTTTGGCATGGAAAATTCTATTACAAAGTTAATTAAGTTACATTTGTCCAGGAGGAGACTAATTTTGTATTTACAAACTAACAAATCTGAAAGCTGCTTTAAGCATTTACATTATTTGGATGGGTTTAGTATTTTTTTACCATTGGAGAGTTATGTCCCTTATTATTAGAAATTATTTGTTTTTTTAATTATAAATTTCACAATGTACCACTTTACAAAACTGAAAAGATTTATTTTGGAAGATTCAAAATTTTAAATCTTATATTGTTTCCTTTAAATAAAAAGGGCTTCTGCAACAATTATCTTTAACGTTTGTGCTGAAACTAAATTGGAAATTTGGATATAATTACTTTTTAATCTAAAACATGATAAAGGATGTTTTTTGTTTATTCAGACATCTACACTTTTAATCAGCAATACCTCAAACCAGTACAAACATTTCAACAGAAACTTTGGACAACATTAAAAGACACTGAAGGTCGGTGTTTTTTCAGGTGCCATTTATATGGCTTCCGCCAATAAAAACTGGCAGCCTTGTAATAGCCAGGAGAACTACAAGTGGCGTTGAAACAGTCATATCTTTCCAGAATAGATAAATAGCTTGTAGTTACTGAATTATGACAGGCTAGACTGGCTGTTGTTATACAAATTATTAAGGGAGTTTTCCAATGCAAACATTTATTATGCCTCATTTATGGGCATTATGTTTTCTGGTCTGTGCCTCTGTTCGTTCGTCCTGCTTCAGGTAAAAATTTTTGGATGAGGAAGTTTTTGATGAAGTCCAATCAACTTGAAACTTTGTACACGTTCCCTATGATATCATCTTTCTAATTTAATGCCAAATTAGAGTTTTTACCTCCATTTTCAAAGTCCACTGAACATAGAAAATGATAGTGCAGATGGGGCATCCGTGTACTATGGACACAATCTTATATGTCTTTACCAAATAGGAAGGGAGAAAGGGTTCAGGGGCGGAACCAGCAATCTTTAAAAAAAGGGGGATCCAACCCAGGAGAAAGTGCGGGTTTTAAATATATATCCCCATTCAAATGCATTATCATTAAAAAAAAAAGGGGGGGTTCCAACCCCAACCCCTAGATTGGCCACTGGGGTCACAAAACTTTTACAGACTTGGAAATAATTTTGAAATGTAATAGACCCATTATTTTAAAACAAAGACTTTCAGACTGGATTTGCATACCAAAAATAAAAATTGGTTTGTATTCCTACTCATATTCATATTGTTAACAAGAAGTTCTCTTTCTAAAAGAAGATATTAAAAACCTATCCCTCTACAAGACTAGTACCTTAAACCCTTATCTGAAAACTCACTCCATCAGTCTCTATTCTCTCTCCCCTATCCCCTCCCCTCTCCCCTCTCATTTCTCTCCCTCTCTTGTCTTCCATCCTTCCAACCTATTTAATTAAGTACCAATTGTTAGTAATGGTTAGTGTTGGTACTTTAAGAATAGATGTTTTTTTATATTAAGATACAACCTGTAGAGGGATGGATAATTTTGCATGGAGACATACTTTTCAATTAAATATTTTTAAACCAAATATAAAAATTTGTTTTCTGTTACTACTAGGAATTGAACAACAGAATGAGTAACAGTTAATTTTCAAATAAACAAAAATAAAATGAATATGAATATTTTAAAAAGAATACTTTTCACTACCAATTATAACCTCCTCAAATGGTCCTATGCTTGCCTGATGTGTTGGAGGTAAAGGGCTCTATCCCATGTATGGACAAACCAAAGACTTTAAAAGGGATATTTGCTGCTTCTCCCTTAAGCAAGTAGTATTTAAAAGTAAGAGCAAAGTCTAGTTGACTCTTAGTCAGAATAATGTATCCGGAAGGGTTGGAGATCTTTCTCAGACTAACATCCTTTACTTTGTGAAATTCCCAAAATTATACTGATAAACCTTGCATTATGAAATTGGTATCTTAAATGTTCTGTTCTGAAAGTTCCTTTAAATATCTGTAAAATGGTTTAGGAATAGCTGATACATATATGTTCTACGTCTGATTTTTAAGGGCAATTTGATCTAAAATTTAAAAATTTGAAAAATTATTTCACCATTTTTTAACTTTATCTTTAACATCAGACATGAATTATGGTTTTATTAAAATTTAAAGGGAATATATCATTATTCCTTTTCATTTATAAATTTCCATATTATTTTATCTTGAAATTTCCAAATGAAGGATAAAAGGTATTAACATTATTTATCTTTATTTAAAATATATTAACTAATCTTTTGACGTTTTTTTGTTTGTGTTGTTGGTTGCTGTTCACTTACATATATCAAAACAATCCTCAGAAATAAAAATGTATACTCTTAATTATATTTAATTCAAGTTAAAAGAATGTATCCATTCTGTATCATGATATAATTAAATCCAAAATTCCAGTTAAAAGAATGTATCCATTCCGTATCATGATATAATTAAATCCCAAATTCCAGTTAAAAGAATGTATCCATTCTGTATCATGATATAATTAAATCCTCCAAATTCCAGTTAAAAGAATGTATTCATTCCGTATCATGATATAAATAAATCCTCCAAATTCAAGTTAAAAGAATGTATCCATTCCGTATCATGATATAATTAAATCCCAAATTCAAGTTAAAAGAATGTATCCATTCCGTATCATGATATAATTAAATCCCAAATTCAAATTAAAAGAATGTATCCATTCTGTATCATGATATAATTAAATCCAAAATTCCAGTTAAAAGAATGTATCCATTCCGTATCATGATATAATTAAATCCCAAATTCCAGTTAAAAGAATGTATCCATTCTGTATCATGATATAATTAAATCCTCCAAATTCCAGTTAAAAGAATGTATCCATTCCGTATCATGATATAATTAAATCCTCCAAATTCCAGTTAAAAGAATGTATCCATTCTGTATCATGATATAATTAAATCCAAAATTCCAGTTAAAAGAATGTATCCATTCCGTATCATGATATAATTAAATCCCAAATTCCAGTTAAAAGAATGTATCCATTCTGTATCATGATATAATTAAATCCTCCAAATTCCAGTTAAAAGAATGTATTCATTCCGTATCATGATATAAATAAATCCTCCAAATTCAAGTTAAAAGAATGTATCCATTCCGTATCATGATATAATTAAATCCCAAATTCAAGTTAAAAGAATGTATCCATTCCGTATCATGATATAATTAAATCCCAAATTCAAATTAAAAGAATGTATCCATTCTGTATCATGATATAATTAAATCCAAAATTCCAGTTAAAAGAATGTATCCATTCCGTATCATGATATAATTAAATCCCAAATTCCAGTTAAAAGAATGTATCCATTCTGTATCATGATATAATTAAATCCTCCAAATTCCAGTTAAAAGAATGTATCCATTCCGTATCATGATATAATTAAATCCTCCAAATTCCAGTTAAAAGAATGTATCCATTCTGTATCATGATATAATTAAATCCCAAATTCCAGTTAAAAGAATGTATCCATTCCGTATCATGATATAATTAAATCCCAAATTCCAGTTAAAAGAATGTATCCATTCTGTATCATGATATAATTAAATCCTCCAAATTCCAGTTAAAAGAATGTATTCATTCCGTATCATGATATAAATAAATCCTCCAAATTTCAGTTAAAAGAATGTATCCATTCCGTATCATGATATAATTAAATCCCCCAAATTCCAGTTAAAAGAATGTATCCATTCCGTATCATGATATAATTAAATCCCAAATTCCAGTTGAAAGAATGTATCCATTCCGTATCATGATATAATTAAATCCCAAATTCCAGTTAAAAGAATGTATCCATTCCACATCATGATATAATTAAATCCCAAGTCAAATTAAAAGAATGTATCCATTCTGTATCATGATATATTTAAATCCCAAATTCAAATTAAAAGAATGTATCCATTCTGTATCATGATATAATTAAATCCTAAATTCCAGTTAAAAGAATGTATCCATTCTGTTTCATGATATAATTAAATCCTCCAAATTCCAGTTAAAAGAATGTATCCATTCCGTATCATGATATAATTCAATCCCCCAAATTCCAGTTAAAAGAATGTATCCATTCCACATCATGATATAATTAAATCCCAAATTCAAGTTAAAAGAATGTATCCATTCCACATCATGATATAATTAAATCCCAAATTCAAATTAAAAGAATGTATCCATTCCGTATCATGATATAATTAAATCCTAAATTCCAGTTAAAAGAATGTATCCATTCTGTTTCATGATATAATTAAATCCTCCAAATTCCAGTTAAAAGAATGTATCCATTCTGTATCATGATATAATTAAATCCCAAATTCAAGTTAAAAGAATGTATCCATTCCGTATCATGATATAATTAAATCCCAAATTCAAGTTAAAAGAATGTATCCATTCTGTATCATGATATAATTAAATCCCCAAAATTCAAGTTAAAAGAATGTATCCATTCCGTATCATGATATAATCCCAAAATTCAGTTTAAAGAATGTATCCATTCCGTATCATGATATAATTAAATCCCAAATTCAAGTTAAAAGAATGTATCCATTCTGTATCATGATATAATTAAATCCCAAATTCCAGTTAAAAGAATGTATCCATTCCGTATCATGATATAATTAAATCCAAAATTCCAGTTAAAAGAATGTATCCATTCCGTATCATGATATATTTAAATCCAAAATTCCAGTTAAAAGAATGTATCCATTCTGTATCATGATATAATTAAATCCAAAATTCCAGTTAAAAGAATGTATCCATTCCGTATCATGATATAATTAAATCCAAAATTCAAGTTAAAAGAATGTATCCATTCTGTATCATGA